CCGCTAGGCAGTCAAGCTAACATAAAAAACCCAGCCCCACCGGCTGAAATGCGTTCCCTGCCCGCTAGGCAGTCAAGCTAACATATAAAATGCGTTCCCTGCCCGCTAGGCAGTCAAGCTAACATATAAAATGCGTTCCCTGCCCGCTAGGCAGTCAAGCAAACATATCTTAAAGGTATAATAAACACACACACATAAATGAATACAGGAGGCAGATAGACAATCGACAGGTTCACTTAAAAAGGGCGCACCGGATGAGTTAATTACCTGTCTCTAGTAGCCTTCTGGAAGCCGGAAGTGGACTCGGAGACAGACCGGCACAAAACAGGAGAATTACACAGGCAACGGCTGTATTATGGAGGTGATCAGGCTCCGCTTGTCCCACTTTCCGGAGGTCCGCTCCGGTCCGTTGGTTCCGGCCCTCCGAACCGGCTCTCCGGTGGGCCCCACGTTGGGCGCCAATTGAAGTGGAAAAATCAATTAAAGTATTGATTATTTCTTTGTGTATCTGCCCCTGGCCAAATCGATGAAACAATGCGTGCACGCTCCCTGAAGTAATTCACACCAGACACAGGTTCTAGGTTGTTGAATAACTTGAGGAAAGTTTATTCAGAGGGGACGGCAAGTCCCTTTTATAGCAAAATTACATCATATGCATTGTCAGAGATAACATGGAATAATACATCATTAATTGGTTAGGTGTTAAGTGGTTGCTCTAATGCTCTGCCTACTGCAGGTGATGTCACCGGGACCATGAGGGTCTCCCACGGTTTCCCGGCGCCATCTTGTTACACGAGGTAGTTAGTCGATGTTAAGAAGGGAGGGGAGGGGAAGGAGGGGTTAGAAGCTTCTAGCAGCCATCTTGATTGAAATATGTGTGCTTAGCTTTATATGTGATATATATTGTGGAATGAGTAAATAGACATTTTCTCTAACTAGGAAATATGTGCAGACCTTATTTCCACAACACACTTCATATTTGAGAGTCAAATAGAAGCGTCCAATAGTGTGCTTACAGCGCATTGGTAAACATTCTTATTTTCTGGGTGCTAATCTGCTAAATAGTACATTTTGGGGCCTGCTCTTCATATCTGAGAGTCAAATAGAAGCGTCTAATAGTGTGCTTACAGCGCAGTGGTAAACATTCTTATTTTCTTGGTGCTAATCTGCTAAATAGTACATTTTGGGGCCTGCTCTTCATATCTGAGAGTCAAATAGATGCGTCTAATAGTGTGCTTACAGCGCAGTGGTAAACATTCTAATTGTTTTGCTGCTAATCTGCTAAATAGCACATTTTGGGGCCTGCTCTTCATATCTGAGAGTCAAATAGAAGCGTATAATAGTGTGCTTACAGTGCAGTGGTAAACATTCTAATTGTTTTGCTGCTAATCTGCTAAATAGTACATTTGCGGCTTGCGGTGCACTTCATATCTGAGAGTCAAATAGAAGCGTCTAATAGTGTGCTTACAGAGCAGTTGTAAAAATTCACATTTTCTGGGTGCTAATCTGCTAAATAGTACATTTTGGGGTGTGCACTTCATATCTGAGAATCAAATAGAAGCGTCTAATAGTGTGCTTACAGCGCAGTGGTAAACATTCTAATTGTTTTCCTGCTAATCTGCTAAATAGCATATTTTGGGGCCTGCTCTTCATATCTGAGAGTCAAATAGAAGCGTCTAATAGTGTGCTTACAGCGCGGTGGTAAATATTCTAATTGTTTTGCTGCTTATCTGCTAAATAGTACATTTTTTTGGGGCCTGCTCTTCATATATGAGTCAAATAGAAGCGTCTAATAGTGTGCTTACAGCGCAGTGGTAAACATTCTTATTTTCTGGGTGCTAATCTGCTAAATAGTACATTTGCAGCCTGTGGTGCACTTCATATCTGAGAGTCAAATAGAAGCGTCTAATAGTGTGCTTACTGCACAGTGATAAACATTCTAATTGTTTTGCTGCTAATCTGCTAAATAGTACATTTGTGGCCTGTGGTGCACTTCATATCTGAGAGTCAAATAGAAGCATCTAATAGTGTGCTTACAGCGCAGTTGTAAAAATTCTAATTTTCTGGGTGCTAATCTGCTAAATAGTACATTTTGGGGCGTGTACTTCATATCTGAGAGTCAAATAGAAGCATCTAATAGTGTGCTTACAGCGCAGTGGTAAACATTCTAATTGTTTTGCTGCTAATCTGCTAAATAGTACATTTGCGGCCTGCGGTGCACTTCATATCTGAGAGTCAAATAGAAGCATCAAAGAGTGCGCTTACAGCGCAGTTGTAAACATTCAAAAAAAATTTGCTGCTAATCTGCTGCTTACATTGGAGTTTTAAAAAGTCAATTTTTTTTGGTGCTAAATAGTATATTTGGGGTGTGCACTTCATATGTGAGAGTCAAATCGAAGCGTAACTTTGATTCGAATTTACTACATCGGTCACTTGTAATATTGTTTCACACCTACAACACTTGTTACACAGATCTAAGTGATAGAAAACAGATTGATATTTTCTACACTAGCTGCTATATTTAAACCAGTTTTCAATAGCTAAGAGGTACTCAAACAATATTGTAATTCTGGGTCAGTTTATAGGGAAAACTGTTGCCTGGATACAATTCTAAAACAATTTCCATATGTCCTTTGCAGACTTTACATGCTGGAAAAACACAGATGCCAACTGCTGTGGCTTTCTGCAGGGTGTATACCGGCAAGAAGGGCAGGGTTGAGGAGTGGGTGGAAGATGATGTGGAGGATGATGATGTCCTAGACCCCACATGGAATCAAGGTCATGTGAGTGACGTGTGCAATTTGAAAGAAGAGGCGCTGGTCGCACAGAGGCACTAGCACAGCATAAGAGGGAGCAGGGTGCAAAAGTGGAGCGGCCGTTCCCTAGCGCTCGTCGGCATGTATTATCTTTAGAATTCCCACAGTTATCCAAGTAACAGATGGAGCGATAAAAGGAACCATAACAGATTTAACGAGCCATTTGCAGTTTTACAGTCTGGAGGGCAGTCCGGTGACCGGGACACAGACACTGTCTGGGCGGCGGTCGGACGACCGGGACCCAGTATGCCTGATGTTGAAGTTAGGAGTCACAGTGTGGAATGGATTAGCAGGGTCTGGTGCAGGGTAACCGCACGCTCCCTGGTGTTGAGCGGCCACATACGAGGACCCTGATGCAGCTTCAGTAAAAAGAGTACTGGATACCAGAAGCCATCACCAGACTGATCCGCAACTTGGAACAGGATGTGACATTCACTGTAGCAGCTATGTGCACTTTTGGTATTCTTACCCTGCTGCTGCTCCCCTGTCTGCGCTGCAGCTTAACTTCGGCCTTCCCGCTCACCGCCTCATGAGACTGTGCGAGCAGCAGCAGGCGATAGTGGAGTTTCAGCTGCAGCACGCACGGGTCAGTGGCTCTGCACCAGACTTCCCTCCAATTGATCAGAGTTAAAGGATTTCAAGTTGACTCATTACAATTACAGGGCCTCTAAAGAGTCCTGTATTGGTTTTTGTCGTCACTACCTTCCCGCGTCGGGAGTGGGTCATTTGCGCGTCTGCTGCCTTCCTTGCATGTGGTAGCCATTTCTCAGGGTCCCTGTATGGAATGGAACCCTGATTCCCCGTTACCCGTGGTCACCATGGTAAGTGCAGAAACTGACATCGAAAGTTGATATGGATGACATCCGAATGCAAAGTCGCTGTCACGGGGATGTGCGATTGGCCTGAGGTTCTCTAGAGTCAACAAAGTGCCTGCGCAACTGTAATGTCAACAGCTACTCTGCGGAACAGAGTTGTCTTTTTTTGTATGTCCCAATATTTTGGGGGCTACCCCAATTAAAATAAAAAATAGATATATATAAACAGTGTTGGCTACCTCATCCTTCTCCTCCAACGCCGCTTCCACCTACATCGCCACAGTCACCGCCTCCTCAACCTATGGATCACTTAGTATAAACTATGTACACAATAGCAGAGGCTTGTGAAGGCCTTTTCTCCATGCATCAAGAGTTGAGCATTTCTCCATGCATCAGGACTGCAAGAAATGCACCACAGGCCGCAAATGTTCCTTTCTTTGTGTGTCCCAATATTTTGGGGGCTACCCCAATTAAAATAAAATATAGATATATAAAAACAGTTTTGGCTACCTCATTCTCCTCCTCCACCACCGCTTCCACCTACACCGCCACGGTCACAGCCTCTTCAACCTATGGGTCACTTAGTATAAACTATGTACACAATAGCAGAGGCTTGTGAAGGCCTTTTCTCCATGCATCAGGAGTTGAAGTCAGTTTGAACAATGAAAGAGAATACCCTGCACTCCAACCCTCTCTAAATTGGATAATTCTGGTGATCCTCCTGACAGCCATGCTTTAGATTTAGATTTATGTTCTTCCAAAGCTAAAAATCAAAGATTCCATCTAGTGCTATTTTAAGGCTCAGCTGTATTTTAAATTTTTATGTTATTTTTAATTGATTTCCCTATCCACATTTGTTTGCAGAGCACTTGTCCTACTCTGATCCCCATTTTACTTCCTTTTGCAGCTCTCTAGCCCTTTCCAGGAGTTTTTTAGAGGCATTTCTGTGGCCAAAAGATCAGGTCCCCATTGACTTCAATGGGGTTCGGGGTCAAGTTCGATCCCGAACCCGGACTTTTTTTCAAAGTTCGGCCGAACCCTCCGTACCCGAACATCTAGGTGTCCGCTCAACTCTAATAGTTAAGCATATCACTGAACCTTAGGGTTGCCGGATGCAAAGCAGGTCTACGAAGTAACAGAACTGACGCTGTGAGTTTATTCAGTCCTGGAGGAGAATGAAATATAAACCGCAATGGTTATTAATAATGAATAAACACTGATACAGGTCACTGGGACGTGAGGTCAGAAACAAGCCGTGTCTGGTACACAAAGAGGAACAGGAGAATGTCAAAGTCAAACATAGCTGGGGTCTGGTGCACTATACAGGAATAAGATACTTCAGGTCAACTTAGATTAGTCTGGTACACAGTGTAACACTAGATGAAGCAAGATTAAAAATTAAGCTGGGTCAAATAATGAGAACCAGGACCAAGGACAATAATAATGGCCTTATGGCTCTCAGACCACGAAAGGGCTCTGACCAGTTGCTAAACTCAGGTATAAATAGACTTAAGGTTTTTAATTGATAGACCTTCCCCCAAAATGTGAGTGGGCGTTGCAATGTCAATGTGCCTGTCATCACGACATTAAAAGGGGTGGAGCTACAATGTCTAGCAGCAGAAATGCTGGCAGATATGTCTGATGGAGTTTACAAACGCCGATCCCTGATACTCTGGTTGAACTGATGCAGCAGTGTCAACTAAAATAGATTAAAAGTAGTCACAATCCAGAGACAAGGAC